TGCACATGTTGAAAGGTATCAAAAAATTGAACGTTTCCAACGCTTCCTCCACCGTGTTTCCACGTTCTCACGGCCAAGCTATTTCTCAATCGCCCGCCCTATTACTGGCAAGCAACAAGACGCAAAACACATAAATCCGAAGGTTGGTCATCCGAGGAACGAAAGTAAGAGTCTCGTGTTCTCCCCTCGATCGAGGTACAAGGATCATTGCTGTTTTCTTTCAGCCATTTCTCTATTCAGAGCTGTCCGCGCGGCTCCTCTGCACGGCCTTCCGCTTTGCCGAGGGATTTGCAACGCGCAAGTGGGTCAGCACGACGTGCAGCTTGACCTGTATAATCTTTCGGCTCTACCTGCCGTGTCACGTAGCGCACACTGCCTCATTAAACGGCAGTCGAGTACGCTCGCAACACACATTTCACGATCCGGCTGCTGAGAGCGTTCTTCGGCCTTAATGCATCGACACTTTGAATATTTCATTCTTCCTTCCTTCGTCTTCTTCTCGCGATTTATTTTATTTTATTTTATTTTGTTTTACTCTTTTGAAATGTACATAGAATATACATCAAGCCAGTCGACATCTGACATGCAGAAGTTTTGGAGTAGTTTCTTGATCGATAAAAATCTTTCGTACATTATTTCCAGAAGCAAAGATACTAACTCAGGCGTTTAGAGATAGACACAGAATTGTGTAGTCAGATTTTTAATCTAACCTCTTTGCTGTAACCCGAATTATTGTACATACGGTTTGGTCACTCGTTATGGTCCGCAATCGGTTGCCAGCGCAAGTGGTTAAACCTCGTGCCACGCACGTCGACAATTTTCTGTCCCAAAATTGCAATAATTTTCTCAATTTTAAGTATATTTAGGTATAACCCAGACGAAACAAATAATAAATTTATTACCTCTCAATAATTTCTATCCAGTGACATCGTACCGATCAATTCAAAATGAGAAAGAAGGCGACAAATTATTGTGTACGGTTCGGTCACTCGTTATGGTCCGCAATCGGTTGCCAGCGCAAGTGGTTAAATCTCGTGCCACGCACGTCGAGAATATCTTCTCAGTTTTAAGTATATTTAGATATAACCCAGGCGAAACAAATAACAAATTTATTACCTCTCAATAATTTCTATCCAGTGACATTGTACCGATCAATTCAAAAAGAAAAAGAACGCGACGAATTATTGTGTACGGTTCGGTCACTCGTTATGGTCCGCAATCGGTTGCCAGCGCAACGTGGTTAACCACGCACGTCGAGAACTTTTTGTCCCAAAATTATAATATTTTCTCAGTTTTAAGTATATTTAAGTATAACCCAGGCGAAACAAATAATAAATTTATTACCTCTCAATAATTTCTATTCAGTGACATCGTACCGACGAGTTCAAAAAGAACGCGACGAATTATTGTGTACGGTTCGGTCACTCGTTATGGTCCGCAATCGGTTGCCAGCGCAACGTGGTTAACCTCTAACGTCGACAATTTTCTGTCCCAAAATTGCAATAATTTTCTCAATTTTAAGTATATTTAGGTATAACCCAGACGAAACAAATAATAAATTTATTATTTCTCAATAATTTCTATCCAGTGACACCATACCGATCAATTCAAAAAGAAAAAGAAGGCGACGAATTATTGTGTACGGTTCGGTCACTCGTTATGGTCCGCAATCGGTTGCCAGCGCAATCGGTTAAAAAGAACTTTCAGTTTTCGTATTTTAGCATAACATTAGAAAAGAAAAATAACCGAGAAAGTTGTTGCTTCTCTTTCTAAAAAAAAATCTTGGAATTTCGAAGAACATTTTTGTTCAATCTATTTAAGTTGTTCTCTCTCTTTACGCTCTTCGAATTCTCAAATAGAACTGTAGAACAGTTTCCTACGGCTACGTTATAGATCGAGAGGTAAGACAAATTGGGAAAAAGACAGTAATAAAATACAATGTGTGTTAGACTTGTGTACTGACTTGGAAACGTTGAAATCGACAAATGGCAAAACGCAAGCGTGCTGAACTGAAATTGAAATTCATCGGTGCTCGAAACAGATTTGTCGGTTAAATGCTCGTCTAGTAACGAAGTTCAATTATAATTCCATAACTCGAACCGGCAATCTTCACCAGCTTAACTACCGCTTTAATCCGTGAGGTAGCGAGTTAATAACGCGGCGACGAAAGATATGGGTGGCGGATGTGCTCGTGCACACGTGAAAATTGCGTCTATGCACGACGACGCTTTGCCCTCGGATCATCGTCAAAAGAACCTTCGGATCTTCTTCGCAAACTGACATAACGAGTCCAGATTTAAAATTTATTCCACAACTCGGGTACACACAAAGAATTAAAATAACGAAGAACTTTAACATGCCGATGAATTGTTCAATTACGTTAAAATATAATTTATCTTCTTCTGCATTGTAAGAAACGATAGAAGTGAAATTGATGACTAGGTTAGAGTGATTACTATTTGTATTAACACTAATTTTGTCTAGCGTCTAATTTTAATAAATATAATAAAATTTATATCTGTAGTAAAATGTTGTAGATTGACCTTAATCTAATATCAATTTAACTTTCAGCTTTCTATATAACACACAAATAGTTAAGAATTACTAATCTAATCTAGATCATGTGTTTTGTATGAGATCAATAGGTCTCTTAATATTTGACAAATAATAAATATGTTACGTTATATAATTTTTGCAATTATTCACATATGTAACATATGAGTGACACAAATTATTCAAATGTTCGAGCAAAAATTTTCTTCCTTCAACTCGTGTATCAAAAAAGAAAAAAAAAAAAAAAAGAAACGCGTTTAATTCCAAGGTAAATAGCTTCTGTAGCGAAAGGGTTGAAGGTATCACCGTGTGCCATCTGCCAGCCGCGAGACGTTGGCACAGCGAATCGAGGAACTGGAGGGCGAGGAAAGAAGCGAGGTGAATATTGAGAGGGTGAAAGGGGAAAGAGAGAGAGAGAGAGAGAGAGAGAGAGAGAGAGAGAGAGAGAGAGAGAAGAAAGAGGATGGTTTGCAGAGGATGAGGAATAACGGAACAGAGTATGATGAAAGTTAATGAGAAAGAGAATGATAGAGAAACAGAGAAAAAGAGAGAGAGAGAGAGAGAGAGAGAGTCGCTATAAAAGGGGTAAAACGAGGAGCTAATAAGAGTGAGAGAAGCAGAGAAAGTGAAGGGAATTGGTAAAAAAAAATTTCAAGCGAACAAAGAATAAAAATTGAAGAACGAAGGATATCTACTAACACGTTATATAATATATTTGATAATTAGCGTCTAGAATGAAATAACTTTTTATGCTCGAGTAACATTTAACCAAGCGAGACAGCATAAAAAAAATTGTATCAATTCGTCATATATATTAATTGAATAACGTCCAAGCGTGAATGACAGACGCGAAAATTCATTTATTGTTATTAATGCTAACGTTAATAAATATTGAAGCGGTCAATGACTGTGGAAAACGATATTAATTGATTGAAAACTGATCGACCAAGATTATTTGCTACGATGCTGAGAGGAGTTTGAAAATTGAAGAGGCGGCTGTTTTAATTTTTATTACTTCAATTTACTTTCCCCTATTCGTTCAATTCCCATCCCCCTAAACAAGAACCAATGCAACAAACAAAATAAGCTTTTATATATATATATATATATATATATACATAAAAAAAAGAAAAAAACGCGCACGAAAATAAACGCGAAAAAACACAAGCCTCGAGAAATCCAATCAAAAGTTTGAAGTCCAAACAAAAAGGTGGATGAGAATAGAAGAGAAAGAGACAAACGCAGAAAGGGTGACGGGATAAAATGGTTCTCACAATCTCGCCTCCTTATCGAATTCGATTCTCTCTCTCTCTTGGTCTCTTCTGTCTCTTTCTCCCTTGCTTTCTGCTTTCTCCTCTCACTCTCGAATACGCATACTCTCCCCCTTGTCCTCCCTCCCTGCTGGCAACGTTCACCGCCCTATCTCATCGCTAGGCCACCCCAACCCGGAATAAATCAATACACGTGTCTGCTACTTGCACGTACACTTGGCTCGGGCCTTAAGCCGAATCGTCGCGAGCAGCTGACAGCTCTTCGCGAGACGAGAGAAAAACGACTCGCCCCGGCGTGTGATTTCGCGCGGTGGCGAGAGGGTTGAAGGGTTAATTAGCTGCGCGAAGAATGGTATTTTTTTTTTTTGCTGCACAGCGTTACACGATGTATAATGTGAATGCAACAGCTTGGGCCATAACAGAGTCGAACGGTCGATCGTTTAAATTCATGGGTGAAATTCAATTTCGTTAAAAGTCGTTTTTACATTGTTAAATTTTTGCCGTCGTGCGAAATTACTGTTAACCATCTACGAGTCCGCGTAACTTTCAGGTCAATAATATATTGACAGATTTTAGCAGATTTAGCTCTTTCACAAGATGACCTATACGTCTTAATTATACAATGTCTCTGAGATAACCAATAACAATATTGACGACGATTGGTACAAGTACTTCAAAAGTTAAAAAGTGAATTAATTATAATAAAATTGTTTAAAATTGGTAAGTATCTTTTTTAATCTGCATATACAGGTTTATATAATAATTGTTGACTTTCCGTTGCGTAAAATTTTAAATTTATATTTAAAAATTCGGCCCATAGAAGGCACCCATGATTTAAACTAATACGAAATTTAATGGATTTCATTGGATTATTATCTAATTAATTATCATGGAAATGCTGCAACAAATAGACTGGTTTGCAAGTAACTGTTGCAAATGGATGAAATTAGTTTACTTATTTTTTCATTAGTAGTTCAAGCTACTGGTTAATTAGTGTTATTTTTTTTATTAATTTACCAGCAATTTAACGAGCGAACTGTGGTTAAAAATTTAAATTAGATTTAGGATAGAAATTTGATGTTCTGATTGTGATGTGATACTCGTGTGCGTATTCGTAAGATTAGTAAGTATAAATGCGAAGGTAAAGCGTTTATGTGAATTATTGTTTCGACTCACCTAATTGACGACAAATGTCGGCCTTCAGGTGGGAAGGTAAAGCTTTCTCCTTAAGCAATGCCTCGTAATGCTCCTTAGCAAGACGATATTTCCCTTGGACCTCGTACAAATGGGCAATGTGAAATTTTACTGCAACAATAGAAAAAACGAAAAGAAAAACCAATTCAATATCGTAGAGTACAAAATCGTAGACTACTGCACACGCTGCAGCAACTGCATGATTAAATTACGTCACGAATTCTAAACACGAATTTGAAAAATTCATTTAACAATTTGTCCATTTTAAAAATCGATTTAGCGAGAATTATATTATGTCACACATTTGTAATTTAATCACACGCGACTACACAATTGTTGATACACTTTGCAATTATAACAGAGCACCATATGAATTAATTAATTCTTTGTACAGCTGTATTTATCAACTGTATAGCACATTTGAATTTATAATGTTGAATTTATAATACATGTACGTGATATTATGCACATCGCGTAGGTATATTGTTAGTTATAATATTTAAAACACGCTACAGATATACATATATATTAAATTGAATGACTGTACATTCTGTTTTCATTGGGATTTTCATTAGAGAAGTTCAATGTTCTAATTGAACGTTTCCGGTAGGAATTTACTTTCAAGTTCTCCGATAATTTTATACGAATTCAATTTGATTAAATTAAAATAATACTGTATCAATTATAATTTAATTATGAAACGATGTGAAATAATAATTTAGTTATTTCTAGTTTAGTCAGTCTCTATTTTCTATATTTTTAAATCTAAACTCACGTCTCCAATTTGATTCAACTATGGTGCACGTAAATAGTTCTCTAGGATTGTTGGCAAAATACTGGCTTAAAATCTCGGTGGGTCGTGCCTTTAGGTTCGCTTCGTTTTATAACAACTTCCGTCGAAGGGAGGGGAAAAAACCAATTTCTCGGTAAACAAAAATGATTCGTGTCTAAGCTGAATGATGGGAATTCCTTCGAACGATGAATCAGTTCTTCTGTGTGATTTAATTTGGAGAACATCATTGAGCGTCATTGTGTAGCCAGTTGTTCGCGAACTGCTGGTACACTAAATTTATACTTGAAACAGTCCAGAACAAGCAGAGCTCCGGTCGATTCATTCGTGTTTCTTGGTAATTCAAAGTGACGCGAACGAAGCTGTGCAACAAAAAGAAATTCTTCCTTCTTGTTGCTCGAGATTTAACGTTCTATTCCACTCGTGCCGCTTGATAAATTGTTACGTAGAATCGTCATATACTATGTACTATCTATACGATATTTATACGATATTTAATATTTGTTACTCTGATTCAGAATTTTATTCCTAGCTCTATTTTCAGACGAAGTTTAGCCAGTTGATAAATTTCTTTGCACCTTGAGTTTATCATCCAAATGGTCAGTAAATTCCTTTGAAAATTCATTCACATATCGTTCATATAAAATATTTATTACATTATATTATATTATACATTTATATATAAATATTATGTAATATTTATATTAATAACATAGTATGTTACATATATTATATAATATTAATATTAATAAATATTTATAAATAATTATAATATATATTATATAATTATATACTCATTATTTATCATATATATTATACATTCATTATTTATTACTGTTCATATATACATTTATATATAAATATTATACATGTACAACTATGTTATTAATATAAATATTATATTATTAATATAAATATTAAATATTATTTAATATTTATATTAATAACATAGTATATTATATATATTATATAATATTAATATTAATAAATATTTATAAATAATTATAATATATATTACATATTTATACACTCATTATTTATTATATATATCATACATTTATTATTTATTACTGTTCATATAATATATTTATATTAAGAGTTAGTTAGTACTAGCCTAAGTTGTGTACAGTACAGATAAAGGAACAACAACAGAATAAAATTGAAACACGGCGGAGAGAAGATCCAGAGAAATGATAGAACGATATTTATTCTACAACCGTTAATATAATTATATTCCGCCGATCCCATTATCCCGTTTAAAGCGAGGGTTTAAAAAAATTACCCACTGACATCGTAACCGTTCCCAAGGGTGCGAAAGAAAGCAAAAGTATGAAAAACACCCCCGAGAACTTCCTCGTCCAACGTGCGCGCAACGTTGCACGTGCGAGTTGAAGAAAAATCGTTAAAGGCCGCGCTTAACGCGCCCTTAAAACATCGACCACTGCGTGATATGTGTTATCGTAGGTCACACGTGACACGGGAATCGCTGTATCACGTTAAAAAAAGAAAAGAGGGTCAAGTTCGAGGCGATAGGCAAGCAGCGAAAGGCCTGAGGGGGGTCGAGATGTTGTCAATACGTGGCCGCGCAGGTATATAAAAGGCGGGAAATATCGATTTCATCGCGGCTCGTTAAATAATATGTTAAAAGTGCGGACGCGTGATCCCGTATCGGGATTATTTCAACTCCTTTTCGTATCTCTCGCACACAGGGCTCTTCTTTTTTTCATTCGCTCGCCTTTCACTCTCTCATTTGTGGGTTAATTGTGCTTGCACACTTTATGACGGATTTATCGGATTTGGTTGGCGAATTTTAATGGAGTGAGAAGAGCTGAGCTTAGCGTAGTATTTTTAATTCCACGAAATTTATTTGACTTATCTCACCCCGTCTCTCACTGAAATTACGTTCCCGATTTTTATACACTTTCGCGCGATTCGGAGTCCGTTTCGTCAGGTGTGTTAGGTCGAGTGAAAATTAAAACATTAGGAGATCCTTCTTTGAGAGAACAAAGGAAACCAGAATCAATCCGCCAAAGTTTCGGTGAAAGTGAATCAATCCGCAGGAGTTCGATATCCGAGAGAACGCGATCGACGGCTTTTAATTTGACGCAAAGCTCGTCCTCGCCGATGAGATATATCTGTACAAAAGCGAGAGCCCCGTAGAAAGTGAAAGTTCCCATTCACATTTCCGCAAAATCCTCCTTTGCTCGCGGGTACATTGAGAACAAGGTTCGCCTAACGAATATCAATTAAATTGCTTGGAACATTTTATCATCCAATAACGTTAGTCTGACGTTAGCAGAAAGTTATTGCCAATAATTCTCAAACAGTATTCTCAATTTTTCAATCTAGTCGATCTAGGAATATTAAAATAGAAAATCGAAGAACAAGTTTGTCGTGTTATACTCAACAGTCTCTAACTTCGAGTCGACATTTCGGGAGATCTTTCGAAAAAAAAAAAAACAGAAAAAAAGAGGAAGAAGAAAGAAACGAACATATGGCATTGGAGTGTAAGATTTCGGGAGTAAAAACGCACGGTACACGGTCGGCAGCTGTTTCACGTTGAATTTCACGAAGACGGGAGGGATGCGCGTAGGCGATCGTCTAGAAAAGGGACAAGAAGAGAATCAAGAACTCACTTTCAAGCTTGGAGAAGGAGGCAGGTGTCGTGGCGTCGATCAGAGCGAGTGTCAGATGCTTCAGGGCGGCGTCGAAGTCAGCGTGGACCTTCAGCATTAAGCCGAGCCGTAGGTGAACCTCGCAGGCTCGTGGAAATCCTGGTTCCACCCATAGCACCTGCTGGAATGCTTTCACGGCCCTGAAAAAGCAAACGAAAGTTTTACCATTTTCATTTAAATCGGCGATTAATGTCGTTTAAATGTAGAATGAACACAAACATAAACTTTTACAAACACATGTTCTTTTACAATTTTTTATTATTTTACTTGGAAACATAAATGATGGCATTTACGTGTGAAAAACCAACATTGAAAACGAACGAGTTATGACATTTTCAAACCCTTCAGCCACCCCGGTACGACCAATTGAAACACTTGAGACGAAAAATTGAGGACAGAAAGGACCAATTTTACCAACAGGGATCTCAATGATGTTAAATAAATGAAAGTTTGCTCTCAGGTAGTAGAAAATTGTCCGAAGCTTATTTAGAAAAACGACACGTTCAGAATCTATTTGTAAGATTTGCTTCGATTATCCTATTGAGAATCTCTCTCTCACTGGTTGGCGCGACTGAAGTAGCTCGTCGACGAAAATCATGGTTCGTTTGATAAATTCACGGTTAAGAAACAGGTTCACGTGGCGAATTCGAATCGCGTGCACGGGCAGGATGGACAGGAAGCGGGTTGGTGTTGCGGCTTGTCACGCGACAGCCATGTCTGGGAGGGAGGGCAAGTGGACGAAAACCATAGGGACAATCGATGGACAGGCAACAATAACGATTGTGCAGTTGCAAATAACACGGTGCATGTGTCCGGCCGGTCGAAGCTAAAACGAATCCGACTTGATTCGCAGCCACCGAAGAAAACCGGAAGTCAATGCCTCCCTGACGTTGTTTGCGCATCGACATCGCTTGCAAGTGAAATATTATTTCTTCGACGTAGCGAAAAAATGTGTTTCAGCAGGATTTGAAATGTGGATGCTTGTCGAGTTTTTGACAATTATAATAATTATAATAAACTGTACTATAAATTAAATAGTTGTAATAAATTAATATAAATTAAATGAAATAGTTGTAATAAATTAATATAAATTAAATAAAACAGTTATATTATTATAATAAACTGTACTATAATTATACTATAAATAAATAAAATAGCAATAAACTATACTATAATAGTGCTATAAATAAATAAAATAGTTACAATAAACTAATATAAACTAATATAAATTAAGTAAAATGGTTATCATAAATTAATATAAATTAAATAAAATAGTTATAATAAATTAAACAGTTATATAATTATAATAAACTATACTATAATTATACTATAAATAAATAAAATAGCAATAAACTATACTATAATGGTACTATAAATAAATGAAATAGTTATAACTATACTATAAATTAAATAGTTATAATAAATTAATATAAATTAAGTAGAACGGTTATAATAAATTAATATAAATTAAATAAAACAGTTGTATAATTATAATAAACTATACTACAATTATACTATAAGTAAATAAAATAGCAATAAACTATACTATAATAGTACTATAAATAAATAAAATAGTAATAAACTATAATTACACTATAATAATAACTATACTATAATAGTAATAAACTATAATTATACTATAAATAAGTAAAATTGTTATAATAGTTAAAATAATGTTTTAAATAAAAGTCCAACGAAGAATTTACTAAAAAAAGGGGGGGGGAGTATTATCCATTTGGAGTATTATCTGTACAAGCTTGTTTATGAAATGTTTCATAAACGCACAGAATCGCAATGCTCTCGCCAGCAAGCAACGAATCATCGGCTTTAACGAACCGTTTGGCAAGTGTCAGCCGTGAATTCCAAGTACGGCAATGCCGGGCGTCATTTTATTTCAGCTTTTGGAGTTGGCCTGCTGGACGGAAGCCAACGTTAAATCAACGTACACAGATTGAATAATACTTTACTCGGTCTCACGTACGAGACGAAGTAAGGTATACACATATCGAACGTGTTGGTGAATCAGACTATCGAGTGGATTCCCGTTGCACTTTCTCGAACTACTATGCCACGGAGAACCGTAACAACCTCGTGCAAAGCATTCGAAGAATGATTTTTTTTCTTTTTTTTTTTTCTCGAGTGTGTCGGAATTTATGAAACATCCAGGTACAACGAATGACGTGTGTATTAGAAATAATTTTATACGGAGATTCTACTTTTTTCGATCATATTCTTGAAACTATAATAATTTGCATAAAAATCGTTAGATATAACGAATGATGTACGTGTTGGAAATAATTTTTTATACAGAGATTCTACCTTTTCAATCATATTCTTGAAACTATAATTTGCACAAAAATCCGCAATATATTTCACACTAACGTTAGAAAAATTCCAATATAACCGATCATCCGTGTAAATAAGTCACTAACAATTTCCAAATATTAACAGAAGAATAGAATTTTGGTACAGCCTAACGACTTTTGATAGTTGCCCAACAAATTATTACCTCGTCGCTGCTAAAAGATGTAAAAGTGAAGTAAAGGACACATCATTGTTTCGTTCCTAACAAGAAGACCGACGGAGAACGGAAGTAACGAGAAGATTAATTCCGCGGCGAGCTCGACGACAAATTAATTGAAGCTCGGCTGGCGTGCTCGCCCGTGATGAGAAGTAGAACGACCGAGATAAAAAAAAAAAAAAAGAAAAATATGGGAGTAAAACGGAGGGAAAATAAAAAGAAAAAATATGGAGGAGGAGATGGAGAAGAGAGAAAGAAATTGGTCGGTTAGTCTTGGCGTGAAGATGGTAGTAAATTCATTCATGAGAAGGCTATTCATTCATCGTTTCATTCACTCCTCGTTTCCTTTCGGGGTTCGTTGTCTTCGGGAATGAGTCACTGTTACACGCGGTCGGCTGCTCGTGTGGGAGAGGCAGAAATGTCACTGACTCGAGTGTTGCGAAATATATTTTGCGAGAAATTCTGTTCGATTTCGCACTGGAAACGAAACTTTGCACCGCCAGCCAGCCAGAATTTTGAACTTCGCGCGCGTTCGTGTTTAAAGATGAGTTTGAACGAACGTTGATTTACGCATGTGTGGATGGACAAGCGTTAAAACGTGGAATTTTCAATATTTCAATATATTACAAATAAAATAAAGTGAGAGAGAGAGAGAGAGAGAAAATTATTTTACTTGCAAGGTATATATTACAAAGTTACTAAAAATACAAACAGATTAGATTAGCCAAAATACCGAAAGAAATATTTAAAGATGCACAGTAATTTCCCCAAGTATTCCAAACTTGTTATTTTCATCTCAAATGAAAAGAACATCAATCTAGGAACGCACAGTTTAGAGATTAACCCCTTGCGCTGGCAACCGACTGCGGACCATAACGAGTGACCGTACCGTACACAATAATTCGTCGCGTTCTTTTTCTTCTTAAACTCGTCGGTACGATGTCACGGGATAGAAATTATTGAGAAGTATAATAAATTTATTATTTGTTTTGTCTCGGTTATACTTAAATATACTTAAAATTGAGAAAATTATTGCAATTTTGGGACAGAAAATTGTCGACGTGCGTGGCACGAGGTTTAACCACGTTGCGCTGGCAACCGATTGCGGACCATAACGAGTGACCGTACACAATAATTCGTCGCGTTCTTTTTCTTTTGAACTCGTCGGTACGATATCACTGGATAGAAATTATTGAGGAGTAATAAAATTATTATTTGTTTCGCCTGGGTTATACTTAAATATACTTAAAACTGAGAAAATATTGTAATTTTGGGACAAAAAGTTCTCGACGTGCGTGGTTAACCACGTTGCGCTGGCAACTGATTGCGGACCATAACGAGTGACCGTACACAATAATTCGTCGCGTTCTTTTTCTTTTGAACTCGTCGGTACGATATCACTGGATAGAAATTATTGAGAAGTAATAAATTTATTATTTGTTTCGCTTGGATTATACTTAAATATACTTAAAACTGAGAAGATATTGCAATTTTGGGACAAAAAGTTCTCGACGTGCGTGGCACGTCATTCCAGCGCATGAGGTTAATTAACTCAGATAGAACTGACGATTAACTCACAATCAATGTTATTAAAGGGTCTGGACAATTGGGGAGAGGGAGTAAACGGAGTGGATCTGTGACTGATCTACCTCAACCATGACGAAACAGAAATGAAATGTCGCCTGTTTGTTGGTCGCTGCCATTGACCTGGGTATTTATAGGTTGAAACATCGATTCACACAGTGTAGAACTTGCACCCGGCTAGCTGGGTCCAACGAGCAATATTGATACTCATCATTCTGATTAAAAAAAAAAAAAAAAAAAAAAAAATACAGATCGATAAATCGAGCGACAACCGTAACAATCGTGTCATAGTTTTTCATGTTTTACGAACGACACTGTGTTTTAACACGTACGTAAGCGCAGTTGGAGATAAATTTTAACATATTCGACATGGTTACGTTGTACAAACTTGAACAATCTAAACTGACAAATTTATTTAGCCTACGTGCTTCGTAGATCGTTTGCTGATGACATATATTACTTGTTTCTCAATATTTTTGCAGTTTGATATGAGAAACATAATACAAATGCGTCGTTAAAACATGAAATATTAGGTTGTTGTGATTAGTAAGGATTATAATATTTATAATACGTATTGCAACTATCGAATGACATAAGTAAAAGATTATTACTGATTTGCAAGTCTCTTAGAAATCTAATTGATCAAATCTTTCATTATGGTTTTAATGTTCGCAATGATACCAAAATTAGGTATTAAAACAATTTCTAATTTGCTAATATATATTTCTCATTTTGTTCTTTAGTATTCTAAAATATACTGAACCAAGTGTTAACCATACTTATATATAACTCCTTATTCGTGAAATGTATAATTTTCTTTAAACTGTTAATTTTTACTATCGCATGATTATCTCATAAATTTTCATATCTTTTAATTTAATTTCTAGATTCATTAATTCCTTGATTATCAAGAACTGTTATTTAAATAAAACTATAAATAGCAACTTTTTTATCATTAAAAGTGCTTATTCGTAAAAAATTTTATGCAGGAAAGAAAAATACTTATCAAAAGATAAGACACCGGTTATCCAATAATCATCGTGAATCTAGCGTTTAAAATTGTTAGATAAATATCGTTCGATTGCTTTTGAATTAAATACAAACATGTTTCATAATGTAGTGAAAACAATTTCACTGAAATGAAAATTTTTTTCGTTCGGTGTTTCATTCACTTTTTCAACAAAATATACCACAATACGTACGTTTGGTTTTTCTATAACCCACAACGCTGGTTTATGTCAACGAAGCCACGCCAAAGAAACATTATTCATTCGGATACCTATGTAAATGAGAATAAAATTACTATAACGATCATTCCTTCTCTTTTCTGTTAATTTACTTCAAGTTTACTGAATTAGTATTTAATTATTAATTTCTATTTATTCATTATTGATTTATTTTAATGTTATTATTATTATTTATTTAATTTACTTCCTTCAAACTACTGCACTGAAACTAAAAATTGATTGTAAATTAGATTAACTGTAACAAGTTGTAAATAAATAATTCTGTGAACTATGTATTACTATTTTGTTAAAAATAATGTAATAAGAGTAAAGTTAAGATAATAACAAGACTGCAGATAAAGTGGTGACTGAGGTTCTAAATTCTTTCTGTAAACAAAGTAGATACATGTATCTAATCACTATGACATTAGAGTACCTACTTTGATTTTTTTTACGTTCTTCGCGTTTTTACAGTTTAGCATTATCTGGAAAATTTTTTTCAATTTAGAACGAGGAAGTTGTCAAGCAATATAGTTGGCCAAGTAACATTTTGGATCTGTGTTCTGGCACAAAAAACAAGGTTGCAAATAATAGTATTTAATAGTATTTTTAATCGTAATTCAAAAATATATAAAATGTATATTTATCTCCAGATAGAATGATATTTTATTTTAAATATATAAAACGTAAATGTATTGGTGGCTAAAAGCTGTAAGTAGAAACGTCCAGTCCGTGTCAAACCATGCGTAGAGCAGACATTCTACTTAGATAGAAGTCAACATCCATACATCTATTAAATTTCAAATTAGATTCTCATTGGTTGGTTAATTGGGACAGCATTTATTCGAATTTGAAATTTTAAACGATACTCAATTATCAATCATAAGCATACGAAGATTTTTGACAATTACCGTTTAGTAAATGAGCTAAAGACTGAACTTCTGTAAATTGTGCCCATTTATTTAAACACGAGTTTCTACGAATGATCATGGATGATGGCCAGAACGAGCGATCTATCATGCAAACACCAGTTATACGTCAATATAATTTAGTCGTTCGACAAATTCGTATGAAGGAAGCATATAAATTCATAAAGAATTCAGTTACATTCTCAAATAAATTTTCACAGTTAACCTCTTGCGCTAGTAACTGATTCACGGACCATAACAAGTGACCAAACCCTCTACAATAACTCTCTACAATTCGTCTTCTTTTTGATATCATCGGTATATCGCTGAATAGAAATTACTAAGAATTAATAAATTTAATGTTCGTTTTGCGTTGATATGGGTTATATTTTCAATATATTTAAAACTAAGAAAATATATTGGAATTTTGAGCCAAATATTCTCGATCCACGTGTTTATTCCAGCGCAAGACGTTTAATAATCGACACTGAAAGCAGCTTGAACTGGCCAAGGCCTGTGGTGTCGTGAACAAAGAAAGGGTGGCACCTTTCAATCGTCAGGCGTAAACCATCGAAATGGAATGTAAATGAAGTCATTAAAGCGGCGACAAGGCACCGCCTCGTTGATATCTTCTCGTGAATCGCGAGGACCTTCTCTTTAGTTATCGTGCGTACCAAGCCGGTGCATTTCGGATTTCCTGCTCCCGGCTGTTTCGTGCGTTGAACGGCGCGTGTAAAGGCAAAGGCCAGTCCTCTTCGTCGCGTCGCGGTGCAGCAGCCTCGAAGGGTGCATTTTAATGCACCCTCCTCGACTCTGCAGGTCGCTTTAACACCTCATAAATTAATTAACGCCGGTATGACCTATTAATGGCCGTTTTGTCGACAACGCTCGATGGCCGTTGCTCGCCCGAGACGAGATGATATTTCTTTCATACTTTTTTTTCTTTTTTTCTTTAATCATTTTTCTACAGAAGTAAGAGAGTTCAATTAATATCACTGTTAGAGTATTTCCTTCGTCGCAATACATCTTTTATTTTGATCGACATAATTTACAGGAATGTCTAATTAGTATCAATTTGAATATTTACATCTTTCTGCACCTGTGAATTGTTCTGTAAAAAATATTTCACACCTCTGCTCGTTTTACCACTTACATAATTTACTGACACGTACAGATATGCAATGAATCTTTCACCCTAAGAGGCACCAATTTTTAAGACTCAAAAGACAATTTTAAAATACAAATTGCAGATTGTGGAACGCATGTAGCTTATGAATAATGAGTTTAATAATCACACACACATACACAATTATCTTGCAGAAACGTGAACAATGAAACGCAAAAACACGTTACATTCTCGTTCACTGTATAATATATGGACGTTCGTGTTCGCGGTATTATGTGTTAGGTATAGTTGTCAGGTATAGTTGTTCGACCATTCTTACGCAATAATAGCGCCATTCTCCTTTTAAGATACCGAAGAGAATCGTACGAATGTCCTTCCAAGATACCGTTTCAACATCCACGCGAAAACTGCAATTTTCCTAGCGTTCGATGCAATAGAAATTTTGTAAAAATAAAGGTTTTATCCGTGTATATTAGAAATGTGCCCTTTTATATTTCTACGAGTGCAGTTCACAGTAATTCGTTACTACGCATGTTACGTTACGTAGATTAGAAGGTTTTTTATTATTTATTACTATTTCATTGTCTCTTTATATTCTGCATTCTTATTTCTTTTCTTGTATTTTTTTTCTCTTACTTTTTAATTATTTTCACTCGTTATCACGTGTCTTAACTTCAATATGTAATTTAATTCAATTTATAAACTAAATATTTATTAAATATTTACTAAATAAATAAAAATATTTACTAAATAGTTACTAAATAAATAAAAATATTTACTAAATAAATAAAAATATTTACTAAATATTTATTTTAAAAAATTGTAAATAAATATTTAGCAAAAATACAAGATCTTCGAAAGCAACAGTATTCGATAGAAGAAAAGTATAGTTAATAAAAATTCCTTGTACGTGAAAAGCGAAATACACGTAACATTGAAGTTAAGTTCGACGTATGGCCTCGCACATGCCATAAAATTGCCCGCCGTTACACTATTTCCAGAGAAGCTATAAACTTTCAAATTTGTATTGAGAGTTTAGCGATTTCATCTACAAGAATCTGGTACAATTTATCCTGGTCGTTTCTATCTTAAGAAACGCCACGGCGATATAAAACAAAAAAAACAAAAAAAAAAGGGGTCGACCTAAACTGCAACTCAACTAAGTTGCAAAGCTAAGCACCACCGGTGTCCAACCGGCCGTGTTAACACGTATCGCGTTAAATCTCGTCTCCGACGATTCGCGCAAGTTCTTGTTTACCTGGCTTGTACCCTTGTCAGCGTTTCGTATCGCGCCTGGTTCACGCTCGTTATAATAGTACTCCGGCGATTCTTAGCGATACGGAGAGCTTTATGGTGTCACGGAATTCTGCCCGCCCACGCGTGCACCAAATTGGTGAACCGGTCGAACCAAATGACGATTTATTAGCTCTCTCCCCTCTGCAGAAAATTCGAAAAACCGATTTTATTATCAAAGAATCTAGTAGCGTGATGTTGTTTCTAATCAAACCATGATATGCACAGTGTTACACAAGCTCGATGTAGAAGATTTTCACCACTTGCGCTGGCAACTGATTGCGGACCATAACGAGTGACCGAACCGTACACGATAATTTGTTCTTTTTCTTTTGAACTCGTCGACACGATGTCACTGGATAGAAATTACTGACAAGTAATAAATTTGTTATTTGTTTCGCCTGGGTTATACTTAAATACACTTAAGACTGAGGAAATATTGCAATTTTGGGACAAAAAATTCTCGACGTTAGAGGTTAACCACGTTGCGCTGGCAACCGATTGCGGACCATAACGAGTGACCGAACCGTACACAATAATTTGTCGCGTTCTTTTTCTTTTTTGAACTCGTTGGTATGATGTCACTGGATAGAAATTACTGAGAAGTAATAAATTTATTATTTGTTTCGCCTGGGTTATACTTAAATATACTTAAGACTGAGGAAATATTGCAATTTTGGGACAGAAAATTTTCGACGTACGTGGCACGAGGTTAACCACGTTGCGCTGGCAACCGACTGCGGACCATAACGAGTGACCAAACCGTGCACAATAATTTGTCGCGTTCTTTTTCTTTCGAACTCGTCGGTATGATGTCACTGGATAGAAATTATTGAGGAGTAATAAAATTATTATTTGTTTCGCCTGGATTATACTTAAATATACTTGAGACTGAGGAAACATACTTGAGACTGCAATTTTGGGGCAAAAAATTCTCGAAGTAGCAAGAAGTTAAGAGGTTACTTAATCCGTAGACTTTGAGATTCTTATGACAATTAATATTATTAGTTAGTAATTTTTAAAAAAGCTTCATTTTCAAAAGATTTCCAAATTACCCATTTGTGAATTTTATAATAAGAATAGTGTAGCAATTAGTAAATAAGTTTCAATCAATTAAAACATTTTAAAGAAGCAATAACGTAATACTTTGATGTAACTAACGTGATCTTAAGAGTAATTTAAAACGCACAATTGTCAAAAGCGAGAACGAAGAGAAACAAGTAAATAAGACTTGCCCCGGCCACGTCGGATAAAATAATAACTGGCTGACCTAAAAAATCAAATCTCTGACCTTTTTCGTCGTGTGCGCGCGCGTGGAATTGATCAGCGAACGTTTAATTGCAAAAATAACACTGTTTTTTTCAAGAGGGCCACAGGCGGTATTACGTTGGAGAGACAGAGAGAGACAGAGAGACAGAAAGAGAGAGAGAGCAGTGGGTGTGGATGCACCGGATATAAAAGCAGTCGTGCGTTATGCCGCGCTCTGGAAAAAGAAGAAGAAAAAAAGAGCAAAACGAGATAATAAATGTGCATCATTCAGAGAGAGCTCACGAGGTAGAATGAACCCGTACCAAGGATTTATATGTATATACCTTATATGTATATACCTTCTTTCTCCTTTCCCTTTCTGCCTCTCTTTCTATTTCTCTTTCATTCTCTTCATTCGGTTATGC